TAATTTATTATTATTATTATTATTTAATTAAAATAATTATTATTATTTATTCACTATAAAATCATTAGTAATACATGGAAAACAAATAATGTTTAAATAAGTGTTGTTAAATATAATAATAGTACAAATAATAATTTATTATTCATTCAAAAATCAAATAACCAGGGCAGGAAAAATTGTGTACATGTAAAACAACAGTAATAATAATAATTTATTAAATCAATTATTTAAATTATTTATTAATAATAATTATAATAATAATAATGATTAAAATGTGAAAAGAATAAATATTACAATCATATAATATCATGCTTAAAATACTAATTATGTGCTCAAACTGTATTCTTCCATTTTATTTGTAGCATTACGTTTTTGTGTTGTGAATTCATTTCATTCTCTCAGGATCAAATAATTCATGTATACTAAACTCATAATAGCACAAGAGAAACTCTATGCTGCAATAGTTGTCCAGCTGTGGGCTTTGATTATAGAGCTGAAGTTGTACCATTGCTGTTACAGCTCAGCGAGACGCCTGCGATTATCCTAATCATGTTAATTAGGTGAAATTGAGCTCAAGAATGGCGAGGGACTTGGATGTGTCCATAGCAAATTATCTATGATCAATGAGAGATGGCAAACAGTCTGTGTTGATTTCACTAAATTACCTTTTTTCCCCCTCCCTCTCTTTTCTCTGGCTGGTGCCCAGGATGCAGTTCTGGTTGGCCTGCATACATGTGGAGATTTGGCCCCCAGCACTCTGCGGATGTTCAGGGCCAAACAGGAGCTGCGCGCCGTTTGCAGTGTGGGCTGCTGCTACCACCTGCTCTCTGAAGAGTTTGATCAGGACAGACAGGGTAAGAACACTTCCTGTCGTACACACACACACGTGGACAGATCAGTCTCTATCAGACTGGGTGCCCAAGTCAAGACAAGACAAGCTGTGTGTAATTGCATTTCTCTGTATAATGTTCTTTCCAGCAATGTGTAGCTCTGTACCAATACTGGGTGTAAAAAAAAAGAAGGTAAAATAATAGTAACAAAAAAAATAATTTATTATTATTATTATTGTTTTTTTTATATATAAAATGCATTATTTTATGCTGAATGTTTTTTTGTTGTTGTTTATTTATTTATTAAATAAGAAAATTATATAATAATTATTATTATTATTATTATTATATTATCTATAAAGATGATCATTTACAAATATATACCATTCTAACAATTATGATATTAATTATTATTCAATAATGAATTAAATAAAACTTGCATAACAGTTATAATAATAACAACTACAACAATGATAATAAATGTGTTATTCATTATACAATAATTAATCAAATTTATTATTATTATATTTATTATTTTATAATGAATAATAAATTGTTGTTTATTAAATAAAATTACTTAATTCATTATTTAATAATAATTTTATTATTAGAAAAATATACTAATTTGTAATTATAAATATAAATATAATTTTAATTAATTATAAAATTATTATTATTATTATTTAAAGTTTACTAGGCTCCAAATCAAGTCCATTAGTCCCCACTGACTTTCATTGTGTGGACAAAAAGCACTCTGTTTTTCAAAATATCTTTGTTTGTGTTCCGCAGTGAAATTAAGTCATATAGCTTTGTAACGACATGAGAATAAGTAAATTATGACAGAATTTTTATTTATATGTGGACTTTTCCTTTAAGACTTGGTGTTAGTTTTATGAGAGAATGTGGTTTCTGTCTGTCTCTCTCTTAGACACTTTCTCATAAAGGAGACAGCACATAAAGGATTGGAGTGCCTTCAGAATCTAATATTTTGATCACATAATTACTGTGCTATGAAGCACAGCAGGGCTACAATAATAACTCATTGTCCTTTAAAGCCTGGTGATCACATCACAGGCTCTCGATTGCTGCAGGGACAGAGTTAAAAGGCATGAAGTGTGTTCAGACGTTGGACTGACATCACAAACACTCTCCTCTTCAACAGACTGTCTGTTAGATCTCACTAACTCAAAAGAGTCGGTACAACATGTGGCGTTTCAGCATGATGATGTCAAGAGTTTTCAGGGCTTCAGCGGCTCGCTTTACAAGCCCGTTTGTTCTGAAGAAGAAACAAAATGTAATCAAACAAATGCAGTTCCAATGCAAATGAACATTGTGTGTTTTAGTCTCAAAACCCTGTAAGCTTATAGCATGCTGTGCACTTAAAGGTGAAGTGTGTCATTTTGTGTCACTAGCAGCATCCCACAGATTTATGAAGATTTTGCATAGAATTTCACTTGCCTGAGCAGAATTTACTGCTGTGATCTTTTCATTTTGACAGCGTAATACTTTTTACACAATATCTCCTCTCAGGCCGTGCATTTGCTGACTCAATTCAGAAGAGCTCACGCAATGTCTCCTACTTAAACAGAAAACAGGAAGTCCCACCCACAAACATCATTTGGTTAAGCAGTCGCTTATTTATAGTGCATTTAATTTATATTTTCATAAAAAAAATACACACTTCACTTTTAAGTGTTTTATTATCATACACAAACTGAAGAGCCTTCAGTTTAACACCCCACAGCAACTGGTCTCCTCAAGACAGTGTTGAAGTTTCATAATGAAATTGCTGATATTGTGATGCACACTGTCCCTCTCTCATGCCTTTTTTTTATGCACAGCTCATTCTGTATCTCACACATTTTTCAGGCCTGTGCTGGTTTCGATTAGCACGATAGCTGGAGTAAACAGTGTTTATCTGCATCACGAATAGGCCTCAAACCACAGCGTGGGTCTTGTTTGAATGGCATGTGTTCAACAGGTTCTCATCCACATAATGTTTAGCGTTCAGTTTTAAAAGGCAGTAAAAAGTTTGGGGTTGTTAAGATTTTTTATGTTTTTGAAAGAAGTCTCTTATGTTCACCAAGGCTGCTTTTATTTGTTCAAATGTGCAATAAATACAGTAATATTGTGAAACATTTTTACGATTTAAAATAACAGTTTTCTATTTTAATATATTTTGAAATATAATTTATTCCTGTGATGCAAAGCTGAATTTTCAGAAGGCTTTAGGCTTTAGGCTTCACTGTCACATTGTCCTTCAGAAATCATTCTAATATCCTGATTTGCTGCTCTAGAAACATTTCTTATTATAATCAAAGGTTGAAAATGGTTGGAAAACACTTTTTACATGATTCTTCGATAAATAGCAAGTTCAAAAGAACAGCATTTATTTGAAATAGACATCTTTTATCACATTATAAATGTCTTTACTGTCATCTTTCATTAATTTGAATGCATCCTTGCTGACTAAAATAATCATTTCTTTGAACAGTATTTTTATGTTAAAAGCTGTTTGATTTCATCTCTGTTTTTTGTGTTGTTTTGTGGCTGTTGCTCAGGGTGTGTCGATGGTGTGTGTGGTTTCCCTATGAGTCAGTATCTGAAGGCTCAGGCGTGTTTCTGTGGTCGAAATGCCAGGATGTCAGCTTGTCTCGTAAGTCTGGCTCACACGTCACAAATAACATCACATTGCCCACGCATCTTCAACCACATCCTTTGCCCATTAGCTGATGAATCTTGCATCAAATTTGAACTCTAAATATATAATCTTTTAGGTGTTATTTTTTAGATGAGCACATAATGCTATTAAACTGAAAGCAAAAATCAAACCATGATATCATGTGTTTAGTTATCACAAGTTTTTCAATTCAAGCTTGTTTCCAGCAGACTTGGCTGATCACAAACTCTTTTTATTCCCCTCTCAGGCTCTGGAGAGAGTGTCTGCTGGAGGAGGGGTGAGTATTGATTGTGTAATAATTCAATTAAAAACCCATTTCTCCTGCAGAATTTGCATAAAAAGAGGACAGTCTCGTGCGATCAAGGCTGTCTGCACAGCTGATTGTAATGTGCTGGTCAAGCTTGAATGCCAGAATGTACAGCATATGCGCCTATGCATATTTGTCTGATTTAATTAGACGCACTGTGTATTTTAATATGATTTTTCTTCTTTTAAATATGATTGATAGTTCAGAGGTGAAGCAGTCAGCATGAACAATCTTTCTGTCTTCTGCATGTCTGATTGTTTGGATGACATAATTGTAATGGAAAATATGAGATAATCTGTTTTGAAAGAAGACAAACATTTCAAATGAAGTAATAAAAAATATAAATAAGTAAGCAAATATAACCAAGTAAGCATGCATTGTGTAAGTAAGCAAAATCAGCTTTGAAATTAAAGAAAATGACTTGGATTGTGGTTAAAAGGTTTTTTTTGTCTGTTACAGCTGCCTATGGAGTCACTTTTTTATCGGGCGGTTCTTCATGTTATTTTACGGAATCACTATGATTCCTTTAAAAGGTATTTATACTAAAACATATAGCCTTATATATATATATATATATATATATATATACTTATATATAGGCCTATATACTGTATATATAGTAGTCAACATTTGAAGTCTATCAAAACCTTTCATCAAAGTTGTCCTAAAACCAAAATGCGCTGT